AATAAAACAACTATATTAATATATATATATACTATTATTTTTTTATATCACTTGGTCAGTTTCTTCATTTCACTTCAACATAGCATTACCATTATTATTAGTAAGAACTACTTGCGTTGAATTTAAACATGAACCGAGGCTCAATGCAAGTACTACTATTTAAAAAAAATTTAAAATGAATATTATTTTTTTGGAAATTAATTAAAAAGGGGGGAAATAACACCTTGATCAACATATTGGCTATTGTATTAAAAGTTTGAATTTCTCACCCCAGCTCTCCCTAATTATTTAATGGTTTTATGGAACCACTTCAATTATCTGATCACGTGTAACAAGTGAAAATGTATTCATCTGCAAAAAAAAATTTTTCGATTTTTATTTAAAAAAAAAAATAAAATGAAAACAAGATTTGTTTGTTTAGGATTAAAATATTTTAATAAAAATGTTCTTTTATCATCAAATAATTTATCTATGTTTCCTTTAAGATCGTGTATGCAATAAATTTTTTTTAATTTTCAGATTTTTGAAAAAAAATATTTTATAGTAATGTGGGATTTTTTTTTAATCTGATTAGATGTTACTAAATCAAATAACGTTTCATTAAATAACAATAAAGGAGCTGATATAAAATCAAGAAACATTCCATTTCCATTAGCACCGCAAAAATCAAAATCTAGATATGGGAACAAATTTTCAGATATAAAGATCTTTTTATTTAACATATATTATCATCTTCTTCATAATAATCGATTGTTTTTTTTGGCACAACATAATAATCTTACAATCAAAGAACAAGAATCACTTCGTAATGAATTAGACAAATTAAAGGTAGAAGTAATGGCTGCACGTTCAACAATTTTATCAGCAGTCTTGGAGCAATCTATAATTTATTCAAATATGAGACCATTAACTATAGGAACAACATAAATAATGAGTTCGGATGTAAGTGACCATGACAACCCTAATTTAATTAAAGATATGATAAAGATCGTAAGCAAACATAATAAAATTTTATTACTTGGAGGTAAATTGGATAATAATTTATTGAATTTTGAAGAAATAGAAAAAATTTCTAAATTGCCAAATTTAAAATATTTACATGGTGAATTGATTGGATTATTAAATCAATCAGGAACCATATTAGCTAATATATTAGAAAGAAATTCACAATCTTTAATTTTAACTTTAGAAAATCATAAATCAAATATTTCTTCTTGAAAATATTAATTCAAAAATTTTTTTAATTAATTACAAAAATAATTATTATTATTATTATTATTATTACAACAAATAATAAATCTATTTCTTACCTAATACAAAATAATTTATGTTTTTTTAAAAAATATATAAACATATTATTATTTATTATGCCACAAGAAAGTTTTAAGGGAATTCCACTTATCAGAGTCGAGGTATAAATATTGCATAGATGATTGTAAAGATGGTTGCAACACATCACGATTATGACGAAACAACCACATAACAGTTCCCCATACTAAAGCTGCAAATATAGGAAACGAATTATTTGGTTCATTCATTACTTTGTGAGACACTGGTAGTTTTGCTAATCCAATCATAATTCTAGCAAATACATAAAGTACAATCTTTATAAATAAATAATTTAAAATAAGTAAAATTGAATATATGTATGTATATTTGAATAATAATTATGATATCTAGAAATGTTATCATTACTTGTTGATTGACATTATTATTTTCGCCAAACACCAAGTATCCACCAATTAACCCTGCTATGAATGAATGTCCATTTTGCTCTTTGCCAACAATAAGTTTTTGTAAATACATCATTGTTTTATATGTTGTAACAAAAAATGCTAAATTTTTTGAATGTTGTTTTGTAGCTTTAAAAATAAGAATAAGTTTATCCTTTAAACTGAATATTTATATATAAATATATATGCGTGTGTGTGAAGAAACTGACCAAGTGATATAAAAAAATAATAGTATATATATATATTAATATAGTTGTTTTATTGATTACAGTTTTGATTTAACTACTTTTGTACTAGTACATATCTTAAACATAATGTTCATCCAGTTTCAACTTTAAAATACTTCTCAAAATCGACTTTACAAAACGATAAAAAACTATTCGTGTATGTTAAGCATATTAATATTATAATACATAACCTTATTAGCTTATATACGCGAAAAAATTTAATTAAATTTTATGTGATACAACCTTAATTAATAAATAAAATTACATTGTGATCATTACTTTTCACCTGAAAATGATAAACTACTTATTTATATTAAATTTAAGGATTTTCTTTTTTGAATTAATTTAATTTTTTTAAATTATCAAAATCAAAATGTCTAGTGAAATACTTGACTACAGTTCATTCAGAATGAATAATAATGATGATGATAATAATAATAATTATTATTATCAAGAAGATGTAAATGATATAGCTACTTTTCTACCGTTAATGTTACAAGCTCAGGACCTTGTAACTAAATTGGAGAGTAGGGTAATTGAATTGGAAAATGACCTAGAGACGATAAGTGGAGTTCATGAACAAGAACGTGAACATTTACTTGAAGAAATTGGAGAAAAAGATGAATATATTTATAATCTTCAAACCAAAATCAATAGATTTGAATTTGGTACAAAAGAAACTATAACTGTTTTAGCCAAAACTTTAGAAACCTTTAAATCACGAATTAATATTAACAACAACAATAATATAAATAATGTTGAAGACGATAGCTATGGTGATCGTGCTACTAAAACAATTGAACAAACGGATTTGGAAGAACAACAGTTTTTGGATTGCATCAAATTATGTTTAACTTATTTGAAAAATTCCTATAATAATAATGGTAATAGAAATAGTAATAGTAATAATAATAATAATAATAATAATAATAATCGTAGTAATAGTAATAATAATAGCACTAGTAGCAACAGTAACGATTATCAAAAACAAAGTCGTAAAAGTCATAAAAGACAATCATCATCGTATTCAATCCGTAAAAGAAGAGATTCAAAGGTTACATTAAGTGATGATGAAAAATTAGATCATAAATTAAATATTGTTGGATCGAATGTCGTTACCAACAGGGCATTAGTTGATCAAAGTTTAAGAAGAGAATCTATTATTAGCCAAATTTCATTGGATGATCTTGGTGGACTTGATGAATATGATTTAGATGGTGAAGAAGATATAGCTGAATTTAATATATCTGATGAGGAAGATTCTAATGTTCAAAGAGTACAATGTCATTCATTAACAATGACATCATCACCATCACCATCACCAAGGAACTCCTTTGATGGGTCACGTGTCGAAAAAGAAAAAAGGAGACCAAGTGTATTATCATTTAAAACAAACAGTTACACAGAAGAACATGTAATAAGTGATAAAAGTCTTAATAATAGTAATCATAATAATAATAGGCATCGTCACCATAAATCATTAGGATCAATTGCAAGTATAACCAATACTAATATTGCTACTGATACTGATAATGCTACTGCTACCACAGTAAATTCATGTACAAATTGTAATATATTACTTGTACAAATAGATCAATTTATTGATGATCGTGCATATCTTAAACGAGATCTTTCTAAACTTGCAACTTCGCTTTCAAAAGAACAAACTATTCGTAAACAAATTCAAGCAAGTAGGAAAAATTTAGAACAAGAAATTGATCGATGGGTAAATGTAATGTTTGAAAAAGTCAATCATATGGTATCTGACGAAGCTAGGATACGAGAAGAGCTTGGTTTGTTGAATAGAGAATATGATGGGAAATTTGAATCGTTGATTAAAACATCTGATATTAGGCAAGAACAGCTACGAGAATTAAAATCATTATTGATTCATATTGATTCTACTAAACAAAAACGAGTTGGTAAAATAATAATAAATGATAACAATAACAATAATGATGATGATAATAATAACCATGATAACAGTAACAAAGGTTCAATGATTTATCCAGATAAAATTTCAGAATTATCATCAGCCGATAGTTTCATGACCAATGAAATTAACAAAAATGATGAATTTGGAGCAACAAAAGGCAAAAATATTTACATCGATGGAATAGCATTCGAAGAATTTCAAGAATTTATTAAATCATTGAAGACATCACCAACGTTTAATAATAATGCACCTAATGCTACGAGTGCATTTATGAAACGATGTATGACAGAAGACATTCAACCTTGTCTTTTTGAAAAAAGTACTGGGTGGAAATCACCATTCTACAAAAAAAGGTTGATAGATGCCATAATAAAAAATCAATGTGAAATTCAAAAAATATCATCGAGTAAATCAATCTCTAGTCAAACCAGCAGTGATAACTCTTTAGCAGCAACGGCAGCACCAATAATAGTAAAATGTGGACTTTGTGGAAAGTTAAGAACTTGTGAATTTGCTATGAGATTATCAGGATCAGATGCAACCGTTCCATCGTCAATAAATGCTAATGGTGGATGGATTCTACTTGATCGATTTTGCAGAGATCGTATTGTAGCAGTATGTGATTTTTATGGATATTTATCACATTTGCGGCAAGGATTATTTAATAATTCGCCTATATGGAAAATGTATAAACAGTGCTTGAAATATCGTAGGAAAATGAGTTTAGCACGTGTTGGAAGTGTCAGTGTGTTTGAAGATGAAAACAACAATAACAATAATCTTAACAATAATAATAATAATATTTATAATTTTTTAAATACTGGCAATGATATGTTAAATAATTCTGAAATGGAAATGGAAGCGATGGTTTTACTTGTTCATTAGTCAATTGATTAATTAATATTAATATTAATATGTATATATATATAGTATTTTTTTTTTTATTTCTTCCAATTCTTGGAAGAAAGCAAATTTATTTATTTTATTTATTTTTAAAGTGCATAATTATTGTATATTTTTTAATAAATTACCAAATATGAATTTCTAACCTCTTTAAATCATTACCACCGATAAGTTCGTTTTTAGCCAATTTCCAATGGACTTCATCGCTCAACATTATCATATCATTATTACAATTTTTATAATAAACAGATTTAAAAATTTTCGTTCCAAATCTTTGTTCAAGTTTTTTTAATAATTGATTGAATGATGCGTCGATTGGAAAAGATATTGCACGACGTTCAGTTGGAAATACACAAGTTATATATATCTAATAATTATTAGAGATATATCAATAAAAATAATATAATAATACACAATGGTTGCGATGATTACGACAAGATTCTTACATTTTGATTATCGTCTTCAATGATACTTTCATTTTCTAGTTGATATTTTTGAAACCATGATGTATCAATTGCTGATTCAATGAGTTTTAAAGATAATTCGTTTGTATTTTGATTGGTTGTTACAAGATTTACAAAAGATGATTGATCTAATTTTCCATTTGTAGGATCATCGTCGGTTACTGTAGGATCAAGAAGATAAGGAAAACCTCCAAGGTGATATTGATACTTGCAATAATTGTTATTGTTATTATTATTAACATATTAACATTATTAACGTATTAATCAACGAGAAAATAAAAATATAAAAATTTTTACCATTCTTTTAAAATTTGGTTTAAATTTTAACAATATATTATAAATGACATTTTTACTTTTATTTTTATTTTTGTGGTTTTCATTAAGATCATTATTAAAATTATTAAGATTATTGATAATTTTAAAACCTAATAATTGATCCGCTGGTATAACAATTTCATCTTTTGTGCCATTTAAACAAATTGATATTTCAAGTTCTTTATGTTTAAATAAGAATGCCATATCGCCATCATTTTTACTATTGATGGTGGATGATTTCTTGTATTCATCTTGTAATCTCGAATATATAATAAAATCACAAGAAATTAAATCAATTTTAATTATATTGTCAAATTTATCAGTCATTGCAAATTTAATTACTGATGATCTTGTCAAATTTTGAAACGGTATACATACAAATTTAATTAATTTATTACATTTCCTTAATAGAGCTGTAACACATTCAATATTGTTTTTAGAAAAAAATTTTTAAAGTTGCTTATTATATTTATTAATTATTTATTATTTATTTATATATTATACGTGTGTAATATATACGAATGATTTTTAATTGGTATCTTTTATGCATAAAATTACTCGTAAATATTACACGCGAAAAGAACCAAATAAAATCAATAAAAAAGTAAATTTTTTTCTTTTGCAAAAAAAAAAACCTCTTTATTAATATTTTTCGAAATAATTCTCGAAATAATAAAATTAATCCATTCTTTCGTATTACAACATTCTTTATTTCAAACAAGTCAAACATTATACACGCGCACACGTACATTGATCACTTTATATTACATGAATATGATATAATAATAAAAACAACAATAAATAAAATTGACCACGAATAATCATAATACCAATAAAATACTCTTTAACAACATCAATAAATATTATTTACCCCCATTTGTTTGATAATTATTTACTTCCACCACATTCATCACTAAAAAACATTCACGACGCATCCATCACCTATTCAATTTATTCATTCAATCATTACTTTCATCAACAATTTTTACCATATTATCCGTATCTTTTAATTTTAATTTTTAAAAATAAAAAAATCAAAAACGAGATTTTTATTAAAAAAGAAAATTTATTTTCTTTGCTCAAAAAATAAAAAATAAAGCAAGAAACGAAAAGGAAACGGGGGCTGGAACCCGAAATAAAATCAAATTAACATTTTCATAATAAAATAAGTCAAACTGGAATCTATATTAAAGGAAAACTTTCCCTACTTTTCTCACTTCATCATCATTGTTCTGCCACCGTTACTGCTGCTATATCAAATACCATTATTCAAACACATATTTTTATTATTATTACATTCAATAACACCCAAACGTTTAGTCATTAAACTGTCCCAGATGAGCGATTCCTCTTCTGGAAATTCCACAGTACAAGTTGGTAAGTAGCATATATTTATTATATGATGTGCGTTACTATTATTATTATTTTTTTTTTTCTTAATAATTTTATTTCTCAGCTCTGCGAATAAGGCCTTTAACAGGAGAAGAATTAATCACAATACCCACAAAATCTCAAAGAAAAGTATTATCGACACCACCTTTCAAACCAAACCAAGTCATAATACAAGGCGAAAAGAAACAATTCTTCACGTTTGATCATGTCTTCAATGATAATTCATCACAAAAAGATGTCTACGATCATTCAGTTAGGAGTAAGGTGGATAGTTTTTTAGAAGGCTACAATGTAACTATATTAACATTCGGTCAATCTTCATCCGGAAAAACTTATACAATGGGTTTAAGTGATGTCGATAAACACAAAAATACCAATACAATTAATAATAATATAAGCAATAGCAATAATATAAACGATTCAAATGGTTTAATACCAAGATCTTTAATAAATTTATTTTCCTTCATAAACTCTGCTCAATACAAAAATCGTAAATTTTCCATAAAAATATCTTTTGTCGAGATTTTCGATGAAGAAATAATTGATTTACTTAATGATGAGAAAATAATTAAAGAAGAATCGAATGAAGGCATATCATCAGATAATGGTGGTAACAATAATAAAGATGATCATGATGCAAATAACGAACGTTCAAAATTCGAGAAAAATAAAATTAAAGAAATTAAAGTTGATAATGTTGGAGAAATAATGAGGTAGGTTTTTTATTATAACTTTGTTAATTTTTACTCTAATTTATTTAATCTCTACTAATATCTCATCATCATCATCATCATCATCAATATTTAGTTTATTATCGAATGGAAGACTGAATAGTAAAATGAATCAAAAAGATATACTTATTCATCCATCAAGATCACATACTGTATTCTCCATCACATTAACTCAACAAAAATTAATTCCTAAATCTTCTTCCTCCTCATTCTCATCATTATCGTCAAACATTTCAGAAACTTTCAAAATTTTCAAATCAAAATCAAGGGAAGATTTAAAATCATTAAATCATAAAAATTCTTTTGAAGGCGATTGGGTTTCTGTCACAAGTAAATTTCAATTTGTTGATTTAGCAACAAATCATTTAGTAAGTCTATTGACATTTCAGATTTCTTATTTAGAAAAATACAATATATTTTTGTAATATATTCACAAATTAATTATTAATATCATTATTTATTATTACAGGTAAGAAAAAGCGAAATAATTCCTTCTTCCAATGACATTATCTCGCTAAATCACTTGATTCGCTCAATTAGTGGATCTACAAATCAAGAAAATAACATACACGATTCTGACGATTTGTATTATGATAAAAATTTATCTTTCAAATTAAAAGAACATCTTTGTGAAAATTCAGAAATTTTAGTAATAGCCTGTGTGCCTCCCTCTGAATACTACATCAACGAAACGATAAAGGTATTGGATTGTGTTAATCAAGTCAGAAATATCAAATATAAAGCTGTAATAAGTCAGGAGCCTGGTTGGTACGACATAGAATATTTACAAAGCCTCGTTATAAAACTTAGAGACGAAATTAAAAATTTAAGAGTATCTGCTGCTAATAATTTACCAATAAGAAGAAGATCTTCATTTGATAATTATAATAATTCATCATCATTATCATCACCAACAACATCATCATCACCTGCTACCATCAACAACAATAATCATTCAATTTTCGGTTCTAAATTAAAAAAATTGATTTCTAATAAATATGACAATCATAATCATGAAGACGATGATGATGATCCAAATTTTAAAATAAAAAATTCAATATCATCAAGAACGATTATTGAAGAAGAAGAGGGTGATAACATGATTGAAAATTTAGAAGTAGAGTTTCAACATCTTCATAAAATTTATACTGAAATGTCTCAAGTTTTATTAGGTGATATAAGCAACAATGAATCACTATCAAAATATCTAGCTTTGCTCAATGCTAATGATCAAAAAGAATTCATAGAAAATCTTTGGCCTAGTTTTGAAAAAACAGTCAAACCAATTATACAAGATTATGAAAAATCTATTTGTTCTCTCGAACAACAATTGAACAATGCCCGTGAGACCTTAACCAACTCTGAATCAACTATACAAGTTCGAGAATTAAAATTACACGAGACTGAAAAAGCAAATGAAAAAAATAAAATTTTAATAAATGAGATTAAATCAAAATTGACAAAATTAATTGAACATGAAGAAACCACGGAATCATACATAAAAAATCTTGAAATTAGGCTCAACATAGAATCTTCTCAACAAATTAAAGATTTGAACGTGATTGAGGAACTTCGGGTGAAACTTGATGACTTTGAAAATTCTGAAGAAAATAACGAAATTTTGATCAATCAATTAGAATCAAAATTGGAATCAACTCAAAACTCTGCTCGTGAAATATTGGATAAATCCTTAACTTTGGAAAAATCTTTACAAGAAAAAGATAATGAATTTAATATATTACAAGAGAGGATTGAAAAACAAATGAATATTGATACAGAAGAGAAGCAATGGTTATTGGATGAGATTACCGAACGTGATCAAAGAATTTTACTATTGGAAAGAAATGTTGATGAACTTGCTCAAGAAATACAAAGCTTTAAGCAATTAAAAAAATCAAATAATAATAATAATAATAATAATAATAATAAAGTCACTCATAATAAATTATTACCACCACTTATAAATACATCGAATTTATCAAATATTAGGCCTATTATAAATTTAAATGGTAAAGAGGTTTATGATATAGATGATGACAGTTATAATAACGAGTTTTTACCATCAGTTACAACCTTGGAATCGAAATTAAATGAGCTACAAATAACTCATGACAAAACTATTGCCGAGCTTAAAGAAATTAAACCTAGATATGAGCAATGTTTAAAAGAATTAAAAGATTTACAAAAACAACTTAATGAATCAAAATTAAACAATTCACTATCAAAACATAATCGCAACAATAGCATCATCAGCAACAACAACAACAATAATAATAACAACAACAAATATCTTCGTGCACCATCATCGTCCACTAATACTGCAATGGCATCTGATTCAATTTTTCAAGGTTATCCAAAAACCAGATCTTTATCAGTAGAAATTCAAGGTGCTGAAAAACAAGAGTTAACAAGCTCTCTGGTTATTCAAAAGTTACAAATTGAATTAAGACAATTGGAAACATTACATCAAGATAAAGCTCAAGGCTTAGAAAAAGTTAAACAAGAATTTGCTAGATTGGAAATCAATTATAGAGAAACTTTGGAAATTGTTGAAGAATTACGTGAAGAGATTAAACGTCGTGATGCATTGGCTCAATTGGAAGTTATGTCTGTGATAGCATCGTCTGATTATGCGTACACTGATGGTGGTCATTCTCCCACAAGTAGTGAGGCCAATCAACAAGATATTGTGCAAAGGCTCAGAGAAGAAGTTGATATGCTTAAAGAAGATCAACTAAGAACTATCGAATTGTTGGAAGGTCATGAAATTGATTACTACAAATCATTTGATCATGAAAGATTAAAAACTTTAATAGATCAATTAAAATTGGAATTAAATCAAAAAAAGAAAAATCAAGATCAATCGTCATCGTCATCGTCATCTTCTTCTTCTAAAATTAAAGAATTACAAAATAAAATAAAATTTTTAGAAGAACAATTATTATTAAAATCTCATGATTCATCATCGTCATCACCACCACCACCATCATCATTGTCAAATATTAACAATGATATTGTTGTTGAATCAAAACAAGATGAAGATGACGATATTCAGCAAGTCAAACAACCTGAGAATTTATCATCGCCACCATTACCACCATCACCATCACCATCACAAAAATCAGTAGAAACCAATCAAAATCCAAAAGCCAATGACTCACGCTTAAGATCATTACAAATTGTTGTAGAATCAGAACGAAGAAAACAACAAGAGAAACGAAGTTCTCTTTCAAAATTAAAGGATTCCGGCGAGAATGAAGTGACAAAACAATTGAAAGATTATATTGAAAAACTTCAGCAAGAGATTGAAACTAAAAGTCATACAATAGCTGCTTTGATATTGCCATCAATTGACCAACAACAACAGCAATATAACAATATTATTACTAATAATAATAACTTACAAAGGCTTGAAAGTGAACTTGAAGAAATTAGATCAACTCAAAAATCTATTGTTGAATCTAAATATGCTCGTAACAAATCAAATCTTTTAAAAGAAAATTCTTTATTATATAAAGCTGGAATTAATAGTCATCATCAATATAACAACAACAACAACAATAGTGGTAATAGCGATAATAATAATAGCTCATTAGTACCAACTATTTTTGAAGAAATTTCTGAAGAGGAGGCAGAACAACGACGATATTCAGAAAAACGCGATTCAGCATCTACAACTGCCACTTTAACCAATGATGAAGATGAAGAGTATTTAAGATCTTTACAAGGAAAAGCCATATATCTCGAAAATCAAATAACTAGAGCTAAAGGACTTCAACCAAACAATAAAAGTGATGATGATGATAATAATAATAATACCAATTATTTCTTTAATTTATCACACAAATCTATTGAAAACCTACAGGGAAAATTATTGGAATTACAACAAGATTTAAATTTAAAATCAAATTTAATAGATGATTTACAAATAGAAAATGATGCAATAGATGAGATTAGAGAACAACTTGAAATTGTCAAATTAGATGTTCAACAAAAATATGATTTAATAGAAATTTTGAAAAAAGATTTACTAAATAAAACTTGGTTAGAACAAAAGCTCAAGCAAAAAGAGATTCAAGCTTTATTATTTAAAAACAAGTTGATCCAAGTTCATAAAGAAGAAGAAGACTTGAAGAATGAAATTAGAAAGTTACAAATGAAATTACAACAATTAGAAAATGGCGATGATGTGGATCAATTGTTAAAGCAAGAACTGGAAAGTTTAAAAGCCGAGCTGAAACAAGCAAGCGAGAGAGAATCTTTAGCACAAGAAAAATTACGAAAATTAAAGACCAACTCATTGATCTCCAATCAAGATCAAATACAACTTGAATTACAACTAGGAAACTTACGTAATAACGAGATCATACAAAGAGAACGTATTAATGTTTTAGAATCCAAGATTTTAGAAAAAGGTGTACAATTAGATGAATACTTGCTACAATTGAAGAATGATTTAACAATCACAAAAGAATCCAAAATAAATTATATTCAAACCATAGAGAATTTAGAAATAGAATTAAATAAAGTTGAAAATTTGACTCAATTTGAGAAACTCGCATCAGAATTACAAGACTTAAAAGTTAGAGAAACAAAACAATTAGAAATAATAAAAAATTTAGAGAGTTATCTAAACAACCAAATGAAGATATCCAATGATTTTGATCAATTCCAAAAATTATTTGAAGAAATCAAAGATTTGCTGTATAAAAATAATGCCAATGATGACAATTCATGGGATCAAGAAGTACATCAACAACGAATAGAAGAATTTTTGGATCACATAAGACAACAGAAACAGCAACAGCAACAGCAACAACAAAATATTCCTAATCTAAATTCAGATAATGTTTTTTCATTACAGAAACAAGTTATGGAATTAAAGAATTCTGAATCAAGTCTAAAAAAAATCATTCAAGATTTGGAATTCAAGATTACAACAACGCAAGAAGAAATACAATTATATAGTTCAATGAAAGAAGAAGTTGATATGTTGAAGAAACTAAAGAATAAACAAAAATCTAAAATAAAAGAAAAAAAATTGCAACTTGATATAATCAAAGCTTCAAAAAATGCAGTCAACAAAGAATTAGAAAGATTAAAACAAGAATTTAATCAACAATCAAATATAGTGGAGTCTTTAGAGACTGATTTAAAATTTTTAAAAATAGAACTGGAAAAAACTAAAGAAAGTGCCAATGAAAAAACTTTGGAGTTGGAAGAAGTTTCTAATTTGTTGTCTGATGTTCAGAAATCCTATGAAGATGAAAGAAAGAAAGCAAATACATTGGGAATTGAATTTGAAATATTAAAACTTAGTGGCAACAGTAGTAGTGGTGGTGTTAGTAACGATGCTAGAATAATGAATTTGACGGATGCCTTAACTAAAGTTAAACTCGAAAGAATGGAACAAGATGATCTTTTGTCTGAATTAGAAAAACAATTAATGACTGTTGAAAAAGATAGAGATGCTCAAATGCAAATCTCAAACGAGCTAAAAGAAGTAATCGAAGAACAAGAGGCTAACCACCAAGAAATTGTTTTGGAACTTGAAACAAAATTACACAATTTAGAAGAAGAATTGGTAAAATCACAAGATTCAACAATCATTAGCAGAGAAATCATAACAAGTTTGGAAGAAAAATCGCTTAGGATACAATCTTTGTTGGAAGAAACAAAAAATTCCGATAAGAAAAATTCTATTTTAATTAAAGATCTAGAATTCAAGTTGCACAAAGCCAATAATATCCTAAAAGAGAAAGAGAATCAATTGTCAAGTCAAGATATACATATTTATGAGTTGGAAGCATTAATACAAAAAACTCAACTAGAAATTG